TTCTCTCCACATACTAAAGCACAACCACCCTGCCGGCCACAGGAGGCAGAGGCGCAGGGCCGCTGAGAAAGCCAGCAAGGGCTCTTCAGCCACAGCCGTGTGGGAAAGGGCCTGTGAGCTGGTGCCTGTCCATTCCCAGTCAACCTTGAAGTGTCCTTTTCAGACAAGAATGCGGACAGGTGCTGGCGGGGTTCCTCTGCACTACTGGTAAAACAGGTTTGTCCTTCTCTGCCAAGCTGCTCCCTGGGCTGACTTGATACTTCTCTCTCCTCCACGTGAAAACCCCGTGCTTTCGCCTCTCCCAAGGTTAGCTTCCCGGGACCCTGTAAGAGCTGCAGTGGGCTCAAGATGGCCTTCCATCTTGTCAGCCACCTCTGCAATCACGCCACTCACTGTAGCCAACCGTCAGGCCCACTGTTAGAGGAGAGTTTTAGAAATTTCCCAATCCGCAGCTTCACAATGGGCAGTGGTTCTAACTGGGACACTCTGCCCACCAAAAAGGCATTGGCAACACCTAGAGACACTTCCAAGTGCCCCAGCGGGGGAAGGGAGGGACCTGCTACTGGCAGTTCATGGGCAGAGAAGCCAGAGGCGCTGACCAGTGCACAGAACGGCCCTCCGAGAAGATTCACCCAGTCCCAGATGTCAACAATGCTGAAGTGGAAAACCTGGATTTAGCCACTAAGCCCCAGACTAGGAATTCTGTGGCCACATGCAGACTGACTCCAACAGCAGGGTCGCCATTAGGAGTAACTGTGGACAGAATCCATAGTTAACAACTGGGCGTATGGTTTTTCTCCCTCTTACTCTATGCTCATCCTCACTTAAAAGGCACAATAGAGCTGACATCAGTGTTGTTTCAGTTAAATCACAAAATCTTGTGAGCAAGGTTGAGGCACTGGTGTGCTGCGGAGGGAGCAGGACTGGGAGGGGCGATGTGTCTGTGCTGCCTACAGCGGGCTCCGGGGCCCAAGCCCAGCTCACTGCACAGCCCAGCTGTCAGCCAGCAGCAGGTGTATGGCCTGCGAGTCTGGAGACTAAGTAACAGGAGCAGAACCATCCTCCCCTCCCTGTGGGGCCCTAAAGGAAACTAGAACCCTCTTACTCCCATCTACTCCAGGTGGCCTCTTCCTTTAGCCAAGAGCATGTCCCCCAGTTCAGAGAGGAGACGAACTGAAACTGGCCTCTCCCCAAAATTAATTTTCTGAAACACAGTGTGGATCTTCATGACTAGTGGCTACCTTCTATTTAGCCCAGACAAGATGGTGAACTGCTGCCTCTTCAAAAACAATGCTGGCAGATGCCGTTGCACAAGGCATCCCCCCAGTTTGAGGTGCTCAGTACAGTCTGTGGAGCCACAATGACTACGAGACAGTTGGGCAGAACCCTACGGGGGAAAGAGGTCACAGAAAACTCCATGGAACTCACTACCGTGGTTTCAGCTTAAGAGTCTTGATAAAACAGATAGAAAATTCACTATTTAAAAAGGGATCTTGAAACACACTTTTTGATCCAGCCGAGTATATTTTTAATCTTTATTTGAGCAGTGCATTAAATAACTGCAGACAAGGCACTTCTATGGAGTAAATTTCCCTTTGACCCATGGTCCTTCCAAAGGAACCTGGCAGGAGACTGGCAGTTCTGTGACTCCATCATGCAACACGCAGTTGACTCCCATCCTCACCTGCACTTTCCAGAGGGAGAAATGCAAAGGTGCCCTGCCTGTGCCTCACCTGCAGGGGCAACGTGTCCCAGCAGCCTGTTCCTCCACCCTCCTCCTCACATCAGCCCTCAGGGCTGTTCCTTCAGAGTTCTGGACACACAGGGTCACCTCCTCAGAGCTGACTGCGTATTCACACAACACAGGATGCGGGCACAGGGAGGGCAGGGCAGGGTGTGTACCCTGAGACAGTATTTCCCCAGCCCCGACATAGCAGCATCTGCCTCGGTGGGACTCTCAGGAATTCTTATTCTGTGACGATGACTGGGACAGGGGCAACCCAACTACTAGGACTGCACAAGGAGCTCAGAATAAGCTTCTCATGGGCCCGTACGGCTCCCCACACCCAGGAGGAGGGAGGGGCAGCCCAGCAGCCCCTGCCTCAGAGCCCCGACTAGCCTAGGGCATCAGGACGGTCTCCCAGTCAGTTCCTTCCCAGTCCCAGGCAAGAGCACACCACCTGAAGGACAGCCTGGGGACCAACAGGAGAACAACGTGCTCTGCGAGGAGGGGCCTGAGCAGCTACAGCGCAGCAGCCGGAGGAAGGGCAGGGGGTCTTTCCACACAACTTGGGAACAGGGGACATGCCCAGTCCGAGTAGGGAGAGAAATGCTCCTGGGTCACAGCACCCCTGCTTTGAGAGACCCTTCATCAGGGTGACCTCTCTCGGGATGGCTTATTCAACGCGATGGTCCTGTGGCAGCACCCCAGGCAGAGCGTCAGGGCTCTCCAGGCCCCGGTCCTGCTGGAAACTCCTCAGGAAGCCCCCCACAGGGACATCCAGAACACAGCCTGATGTGCCCATCTCTCGGGCCATCTTTCACATGTTGCTACCTAGTCCACCTTTAAAAGCCCTGGTAGCCCTTCACAGGACAACTCCTGCTTACTAAGTGCCAGTCAGAATTCTCCTGGCTGCTCCACCAAGGAACAAGTCTGTCTCTCCTGAGATGTCTATCCCTTAAGATAAAGGCAGCTGACTGGGTAACTAGTTCCTGCTACTCAGCGTCATGAAAGATCCATTTAGCTAATAAAATTCCTACAAAACACTGTGGATATCCAAAATCTTGTTGCTTTTCTTGTTCGAGTGACATTGCATGGAGACTTCACAGTAAGATAAGTGTCCGTGCAACTGACTATGTGCCAGGACCAAGGGCCTGGGCTGGAGGCGCTGGTAGAGTGAGACCCCAAATGCACACAGTGGCCACAAGGTCCCTGACCTCAACCGTGCAGGCCCTGGCACGTGGTTCAACACACAGGCCAACTCAGTCCTCAGCGAGGAAGAGTGTATATAGATATTATGTTTTCAAATAGCTTTGAAAAATAAGAAGGGGAGAAAAATAACAGTCATTTGGATGTGATGATCTTGTGGGTCTATAGTTTAATTGGCACAAAGCCATATCTGTTTGCTTACATTGTTTAAACCGCTTTCATGCAACACCAGCATACGAGGAGGGGCCTGCGCAGCTGCAGCAGGTTTGGGCAGGTTTGGCAGAAATCGTATGGTCTGAAATATCAACTACCTAGTCCTATACCAGAGCTCCTTCTCATTTAGGTCCTAGATTGATGTCACCTCTGAGTGTCCTTTCCTGAGCACTGTCTAGAGAAACCTGGCCCAACTTCACCTGTGCACCCCCTGTTCATTCTGGGAAGTCAGAGGAATTTCAAGCGCCTCATCTGTGCACAAACTGCTCTGTTCCTGTCCCTAGAGAACACGAGTGAGCTACACAAGCACGGACCACGCGAGTCACACACTGAGCCACGCTGCACCCAGACCTGCCTCTTGGAACCAGGGATCTAAATAAGAGACAGCTCCATCTTTGGGCAACATGATATAGTTTGTGAGATGTAAAACAAGCGACTAGATAAAACCTGTTGTCCTTCTCAAGGGTTTAAGAGGTTATATATAACAACTAAATTGGGTGGTAAGTTAAGAGCAGGATGTGTCTCATGCCAAAAGGAAGAGGGAAAATAGGGTCTAGCACCTCGTGGCTTCCGGGCATGGAGGGACAGGTGCCCAACGGCTGTCTGGCCCTCGTGCCCCTGTCTGTGCAGGCCTGCGCAGGAGTCTGACATTCCACTGGTGTTCAACTCCCATTAAAACACAGTCTAATGCCTATAAATAGGAAGGTCTTTTAAACACTAATTAAAAATAACAGCCTGGCATTTAGACACTCCTATAAACAAAACTCTAGAGCTGAAATAAACAGCAACAGTTGCACTTCTGACCTATCCTCAGGTGGGTAAAAAGCTGCGACATGTCTTCTTTGCAGTCTTGCAATTACTCCTAAATTTATGGAGCTTTAAAATGAACAAGGAGGATGTCCATCTGACCTTTGAATTAGTAAGAACTGGGGAGTATCAATCTGCTCCATTTTAATGAAATATAATGTTAATATTCCACTCAACCCAACACATCTAAAATATCATTCCAAGAAATACACTGTAACAAATATGGAGAAAATGAGACATTTTGCTTTTCATACAATGTCTTCAATATCTTACAGTTGCAACAAATCTCAAAACAGCTACATTTCCAGCTCAAGGGCCACAGGTGTTCTGAACTGTAGGGTGCTGAAGTTCAGTTATTTCCAATTGAATGCAAACCAAATTTGCTTGCATTTTCTGCATTTAGAGTTTTACAGAGAAGAGCTCTTCTCTTTGAGATCTGTGTTTCACTTCAGATGACTACGCACACAGAATATTTATTTTATATTTTTAAAACCTGGAATTCATCTTAGGATTCCTATTGCATTCTTCCCATTGAGCTAAAAGATTTTAAGGACCACATCACATTGCTTTCCCACAAGCATCCAATTTACTTTTTAAATCATGGCTGCTAGATTCAGTTTTCATTTCCTTTCCACATGGCTCCTTTCCTGTCCTAACTGAACACAAGAAAGACACTTGGACACATCTGAGCCAAGTTTCCTTAATGTGCAACAGGACGGCGCCACCATCAGTACACAAGATGACCCGTCTAGCTCAGATTCAAAAACACCCCACCCTGCCCGCTCAGTCTTTTAAGACTTATGTCCACTTTTATTATTTAAGAAGTAGGGAGGGAAACCTAGGACTTCAAAATACTTTAGCGATAGGCAGGAGCATGACCAGAGGGTCCTGCTGCAACAAGCATAGCTGGGGGGCAGTTCCTCTTGGCTTCAGGCCCCTGTTCTTCCCCCTACTGACGAAATGGTGCCTTCAATGGCTTGGGACTGACTGCCATGAGGTTGGCCCCCTCCATCCCCACCAGCAGGGATCTGCTGTTGAAGTCTCTGGTTACCTCTGCATCCTGTTCCTGGAGGCGGTATGTCCTCTGGAGGCTCTGCAGAGTTTGGGGCTTCAAAGTCTTCTGCTCCAAGAGATGCTCTAGAAGCAAGACCAGCTGGTCCGGAAGGAGCTGAGGGCAAAACAGAACAGACTATGAACATGCCATTCCGCCAACAATATATCAAACCCCATGCTCAGAACAAGAATGGCAGACCCAAGGTTACCTCGTACTCTCAGCTTGTGTCTGAAACTGAGGAAGACGATGGGAATGACTCTAGTCAAACCTCAAGGCTTACCTCATCTGCATCCCCTAAGACAATGCACTCTGAGGTCTAACAAAGCCATGTTTTGGTGGCTTTTCATTTCAGGTACAGACTTAGAGTCTATCAAAACGATACTTATCAGCTGGGTGCTATTCTGTACACATGTGATTCCAGCTATTCAGAAGACCGAGGCAAGAGGATTTTAAGTTCCAAGCTAGCCTCCACAACTTAGCAAGATCCTACCTTTAAAAATAAATAAATAAAAAGAACTGAGGATGATGTAGCTCAATGGTAGAGCACCCCTGAGTTCAATCCCCAGTGACGCCCCCCAAAAGGGAAAAAAGTTATCTTAATCAAATATGATTTTGTTTTATGAGATCTGTGTATTTATGGCAAGCATATGCAAACAACATGTCTTTCAGCCCAGAAAGAGATTCAAGAAGAACGTGAGGCGAACACATGGAAGCTTAACAGAAATAAGAAGCAGTTTCAGATTTCCTTTTGAGCCATAAAAACTCTGCAAACATACCTGATGCACACTGAGAAATAAAGAGCATATGATAAAAACAATCACAGCATCTCATAATCCCTGCATTATAAAACTCTACATTCATAACATACATTTTTTTAAAGGCTGCACACAGTGATGCACATGCACACAAAGTCACCCCGCTCCTAAATTTTCCCACAGGACAGGCCGGCGAGCATCCCAGTAAGGGTGAAAGAGAATGCAGTCTTTATGAGGTTAAAAAAAGACAACTTGTGAATAAACAGTATCTGTGGAACCCGCGAGCTAAGTGTGTGAGACGGCACCTGTGGGCACCACTGGATGGGCCCGGCACGCACCGAGGGAGAAAAACCAACAAGCAGCAGGTACACCTTGCAGGAACTGAAAACGCTTATTCTAAAATCAAGGCTTAAGTCACCATCATGAATCCACTACTCTCCACACTTTGAGCTTCTCTCCAACCCCTGCTTGTGCCCACAAAATCCTGTTAACAAGCCAAAATTTACAAACGTGGAAGCCAATACTAGATCAGAGAATATTCATAAGAACACCTGGATTTTAAATGTCACTTTCTATTACTCAAAAGAAATAAAAAAAAATCACTTGCTTCTCTCCCAACCCCTCATTTTCTTCTTGTCCCTAAGTGTGCACTCTGCCCTTCCCACCCTCTCACACATCCACACTCGCTCTCTCCTAAAATGAGCAGGCAAGTATGAAGCACGCACGAGGATCAGCACGTCATTTCACAAAGAAAGTCCTTTCCAGCGCTTCCTCTCCCCACCCGTCTAAGTTCTAATGACTTCACTTCCCACAGAGGGCAGCAGAGGCACTTTCCTCTGCTCCCCAGGGTACTGGCTTTGGGAGACCACTCCATCCAACACCGTGCCACGGACTACGACGGGGAAGTCAGGTGTCTTTGGCAAAATCACATTATGATTAGCACTGACCTGTGAGGTCCAACACAAGGACTCCGAGAAGGACTAGCACTTCCTTTCTTGAGAAGTCACATGCCGGTAAGATGCTTTAACGATTAAGTTACTGCATAACTACTAATAACACAAACATCAGCCTGCCATTTCCTATAGGCTTAGATAACAGGCTACTTCTGTAATATCAAAAGAAGCCTGCGAGGAAGCCTCGACTCCCAGCCCCGGAGCCCAGCTGGTACTGTTCTCTGCCTGGCTTCTCCTTCCTTCCCGTTGGGGCTCCAGATCCTCTAGCATAGCCCCCGGCTCTCCTCTCCTCCCCGTACCCACCAAACCCGACAGCAACTTTCAATGTCCCACAGGAGGCTGAGCCAGATCCTGGACCTTAGCCCTGGCGGGGGTGGGGTCGGGGCTGTCCTCCGGAGGCCAGGCCCCAGCCTTCCTGCAGCACACCCTCTGCAAAGCCTCCCTTTCTCCCCTGTGAGGCCCTCCTCAACCCACTCCATGGCTTCTGGTTCTGTCGTTGAAGTGTCCCACTGTGGCCTGGCCTAAGACCCCTTATAGAAGCAGCCCACCTCCCTATGCAAAGGCTGGAGGTAAGGGAGCCAGAGAAAGCCAGACTGAATGAAAGAGGCCCAGCCTGCCTGCACCTGACAGCCACCGCCACAGCCAATAAGCAGCATTTCCAAAGGCAGCCACTGAGAGGGAGAGTGCTGGGTGTTAAGGCCTCCCCAGACACACAGGCAGGACCCTGGGAAGGGGCCAGCCCACAGGATCAGCTCTCGGCACTAACAGGCCTGATCCGGCAGAGAACACCCATCACTGGGATCTGGCGGTGTTTGCTAACTAAATACAGCAGGAACCAGCCCTGCCAATTTGCAGAATTACAGAGAAGGAAAGAGCAGAAAAGCATCTCCCTATTATGTGCCTGTGCTTACAATGAGGTCTATTGTTAGAGCTCAGTTTGGGACTTGGTTTAAACTAAAGACCCACAGAAGAAAAGAGTCCCTGAGTAAGACAACTGGCCTTGACTTACTCCAACTAAGTTCAACCAGTAACACAACTCCAGTTTAAAAATCAAAGGACTGCTCATATACAAATCCATCAAAATGCCTGGATTCACACTCTGGTATCTCGCAGTTTCCCTCCAAGCACGAAGTTCACACACCTGCGCGCTGAAATAGAAATGAAAGGGTCACTGGAAGCTTTTGTTTCCAAATTTTGTGCAATGGAAATATTTAAAGCTATGCCTCCTGACTTAAAACGGAAGGAAGGAGGACCCGCACACTCAAACCTGCAGGGTTTGACTGCAGTTGGACTGACTAACTGGAGGGAGGAACAGAACAAGGGTGACACCCTCTTCAGGTGTCTGCTTATCCTTCAATAAGGCGCCAAGACACACTGCTGCAAGAGCCAGCGTGTTCAGAATGCTGCAGGAACAGCCCAGGCTTGGGAAGCAGCCTCCACAATGCCTGCCCCACACCGCCCTCCCGGGACTGCAGCCCCCACTCACCTGCAGAAATGACTCACTTATAAACAACCTGGTTCTCAACTGTTACTAATTTTCAGGGAAATGTGGCTTCTAAACAATGGAAAAAGTAGACAACTGATGATCTAAAGCTGTTTTAGACCCCTGTCAATAAAACCAATTCAGCTTCTTTCATTCACAAGTAAAAATGACATCACTTTTTTTTTTTTTACAGACCTTGAAAAGAGGATTTTAACATTCACTTTAATGCAAAAATGGGTTAACTAGCTACATTTTAATACAGTAAATTTCTTTTTCTAAAATAAACATTTGCTCCCTGTAAAGCCACCCAACGTTGAAAAGGGATGAGCATGAAAAAGCCAAAATGTTTGCAAAGCAACTGGAAGATCTCACACACCAGCATCTGTGCTCAGAGGCAGTCCTGGGAGGGACCCACCCTGGCAGCTGGCACAGGGGCAACGGGAAATGCTATGTGGCTTATTCCACTCCCACCCACGCAGAAATCAAATTCAGTCTCACATGACTTCTAGGCCAACTGGGTTTGAGTACAGCAGTACTCCAGGAGACAGACACGGCTCTAACTGCACAGTGGGACGGAGAAAAATAAAGTAAGTCTCAGCATTATCTCCTAAGAAAGCAGGGCCCTTAGACATTATGGAATGAACCTGGCTTTATTTCTGGAGAACTAACAGTGTTTGAGCCCAAGTTCAACAGTGACAAAAATAAAGGTCCTTCCTTTCTTTGCACAAACAAGGAATTCATGATGGGGTGATTATCTTTTCCATATGGAGACCAGCTCAGTATTTTAAAAATGCATCTGCCATGGAAACTTAGACAAAATAAGACTATGGGGTGCCAAAGTCATGTGGGTACTTGAAAGAGAACTACACAGGACTGTAAAACTCACTCAAATGAATGCATGAAGCAAACCGCTAAAGGCGGTCAGTCAAGTACAAATGCTACTTGTTAAGGATTTCAGAAGTCTGTATTCTTGCCGTAAACACGGAAGATTTCACAGTTGTTAATTACTGAGACGTGCACAGACAAAAACGTCGACTTCTATTTTTCCCAGTCAACTTAAGAGTTGGGACAAGCTGCACAACTTTGAATAGTTTTAAAAAGTTTTTATAGACTCTTGGAAAGAAAATATGAATTTTCCAAACCCACCCTCTTAACCTACAAGCAATACAAAGAAAACAAATCCTGACTCTTCCAGAAGCCTCTCACCGCTGTCATGGGGCATCACTCATCCCAGCTCCCAGTAGACCACCCACACAACTGAGGCCCTCCACGGCTCTTCCATTAGCACCACACGCAGGCCAGCTCACCTCCTGGGTCAGACACTCCACGGACACACCTCAGAACTGAGCTTCCATAGGCAAGGTCTGTAAAGAGGGACCAGTTCACACCACAATCCTAGCCCCACAGCCTGTACCCCGTTGAGAGCCGAGGAGGGCACCTCCTCTGCGGCCCAGCTGGTGCACCACAGCTGCTCACACTCGAGGCCAGGCGCTGTGCCGCTCCCAGAGAGAATGAGCTCTGGACTAATGCAGCCGTCGTGGATTGACGGTGGCGTGAGTTCTATTATTACCCCATTATCACTCTGGGATCTGTGCCTAAATGAAGCATGCTTCCTCCCTCATGCTATTTCCTTTTATCCTGGCTGGAGACTAAATGCAGATCAATGGGGGCAACACATATGATGTCACTTCAATTTATAGCGACAGCCTCCCCCTCTTTTAGTCTGTCTGAAACACACAGAAAGATCAATTCTTCCCAAAAATGGTTAAAAAATGCTTAGGGAGCGTCTATCTCCCAGAAAAGCATTCTCTGCTATATTTGTCTATGTTACTACGGCAGAAACTGTTTACATGGAACAAAAACAGAAGAAATGGGGGAGGGAGAAAAATCTCAAATTCTCCTGTATGCTGGAGGCTTGCTGGC